CCCGTTAGGTGGGTACACAGTTTTATGAAAAGAAAAGCGATTCCCTAAGATCTTCTCAACGTAAATGTTAAGTGAAACACTTGAAAAATACGTTAAGACTTGAGTGCTCTTTTGAAGTGTTTCTTTTACAGGTCTGTATTTGTTGTAGAAAACTTGGGAAATGAAAAAACTAAAATAAAAATCACTTATAACCCTTTCACTTGGAGATAGGCTCTTGACATTTTTATGTATTTCCTACTACTTTATTTTGCTCTGCAGATATGTCTTTAAATTTTATTAATTTTAAATTAAGAAACTAATACATGAATATGTTCTCATTGTAAAAATTGAAACCTTATAGTTAAAGCTAAAGACTCCCAGTGACTTCTATCCCTACTCCCAGTCCTCTCTGGAGAGAGTACTTAAGAGTTTTTGTATATATCTCTTTGTTTATCTGTAGAAATAAAGTATTATTTTAGGTTGTAAAAAAAATACTTATATGTAACTTGCTTTTCTTTATTTTCAACTAAACAATAGGTTTTTTGGATAGTGTATGTAAAGACTTTTCAAACTGCTGTATAATATTAAATAGCGTGTATATACCGTAATTTATTCAGCTGTTCTCTCATTGTGGGACATTTTGGCTGTTTCCTTTTTGTTGTTGGTACTACAATGTTGCAAAAAAGCATTCTCACACATGCCTGTCCTTTCATGTATATTCATTCGTTTATTAAATATTGTTTTCCTGCCATAGCCAAGCACTGTTTGAGGCACTGGAAATTTAAGAGGGGAGCAAAATGGTCTATCACATCACAGAGCTTATACTCTAGAAAAAGGAATAGCTATAAAAACTTGAATTTGTAATAAAATACCAAGTAGCAATAAATGCTGGGAAGAAAAATAAAGCAGAGAAAGGGGATATAAAGTGTTGGAGGACAGGGCTGCTCCTTTCAATATACTAGTGAGGGATGGTTTCCATGAGTAGGCAGTACTTGAGCGGTGACTTAAATAAAGTGAAGGAGTGAACCATGTGGAGATTTGGAGTAAGAGCATTCCATGCAGAGGGAGCAGCAAATGTAAACGACTTGAGAGGGGAATAGGCCTTGGGATGTTTGAAGAACAGCACGAACACCAGTGTGGCTGAAGCAAAGTTGAAGAGACTGTTAAGTGAAGTTGCACAAATCAACAGGAGCTAAAATATTTAGAGCTGTGCCGTCCAATACAATAGCCATGAGTCACATGTGGTTGTTGAGCACTGAATTTCTAAGACTTAGGACCAAAAAAAGAATGTGAACTATCTCATTAATAACATTCTATGTTGATTATATGTTAAAATAATATTTTAGACATAAGTTAAATAAAATATATTATTAAAATTAACGTATTTCTTTTTACTTTTTAAAATGTGGCTACAAAAAAATTTAAAACTACGTATGTAGCTCATTTCTACTGGACAATGCTAGTTTAGGGTCTTAAAATCCATGGTAAGACATTTTGATTAAATGTGATAGTAAGACATTAGAAAATATTAGGCAGAGGAATGATGTGATAAAGTTAGAGCTTTTAAAGAATCACTCCACTCTGATTATTCTGTGAAGAAAAGACAGTACAGAAGTAAGAGTAAAAGCAGGGAAACTAGTTAAGAGGCTGTTGCAGTAGTCCAGATAAGAAATGATAATAAGGGTAAAGATAGAGCATTTGGGATAATTTTTGAAACTAGTGTAAAACTAACTTCCTAATGTTTTGGATAATGGGCTGTGAAGGAGACTGGAACCAAAGATAACTGCAGGTTTTCAGCCTTAGCAGCTGTGTTGGACAGTGATAATGTTTACTGGGTTTTGAGAGAATTAGGGTAGAAAAATAAAGAGTTTTGTTTTAGATATTATTATTATTATTTTAATTTGATTGATTTATTTATTTTTCCCCCCAAAGCCCCAGTAGATAGTTGTATGTCATAGCTGCACATCCTCCCAGTTGCTGTATGTGGGACGCGGCCTCAGCATGGCCGGAGAAGTGGTGCGTCGGTGCGCGCCTGGGATCCGAACTCGGGCCGCCAGCAGCAGAGCGCACGCACTTAACCACTAAGCCACGGGGCCAGCCCAGATATTATTTTTAATACAGTAAACTTTTACTGAAATATAACAGCATACCAAAAAGTACAGTAGTTCCCCCATATCAGCAGGGGATACATTCCAAGACCCCCAGTGGATGCCTGAAACTGCAGATAATACTGACCCCTATTATATATCATGTTTCCTTCTGTATATATGTACCTATGATAAAGTTTAATTTATAAATTAGGCACAGTAAGAGATTAACAATAATAACTAATAATAAAGTTGGCTTTGGGGCCATTATTAAGTAAAATAAGGGTTACTGGAATACAAGCACTGCAGTACCATGACAGTTGATCTGATAATCAAGAGGACTACTAAGTGACTAATAGGAGGGTAACTATACACTGTGGATATGCTGGAAAATGGGATGATTCACGTCCTGGGTAGGACGAAGAGGGATGGCCAAGATTTCATTATGCTGCTCAGAACGACACCCAATTTAAAACTTATGAATTGCTTATTTCTGGAATTTTCCATTTAATTTTTTGGACCACAGTTGACCTCAGATAACTGAAACCACAGCAAGCAGAACTGGGGATAAGGGGGAACTACTGTATGCAAATACTAAGTGTAGCTTACATGAGCTTAGCTCACGTAAGCAGCAGTCAAATTAAAAAACAGATCCACTATCCTAGTAGTTCCCACTTGTGCTCCTAACTCTGTAAATTAGTGGTGGTGTTCATTGCAATTTCAAAGTCCCAGACTATAGGATTGTTTACGTTGTGCCTTAGAATTGAGAAACTTGGAAAATTATCAAAGATTGTGTCTAAAACTTTAGGAGTAATTAGGGACTATTTTCTGAGTTCATAACTTTTTTTTTTTTTTTTTTGGGGAGGAAGATCAGCCCTGAGATAACATCCATGCTAATCCTCCTCTTTTTGCTGAGGAAGACCGGCTCTGAGCTAACATCTATTGCCAATCCTCCTCCTTTTTTATTCCCCAAAGCCCTAGTAGATAGTTGTATGTCATAGTTGCACATCCTTCTAGTTGCTATATGTGGGACGCGGCCTCAGCATGGCCGGAGAAGCAGTGCGTCCGTGCGTGCCTGGGATCCGAACCCCGGCCGCCAGTAGCTGAGCGCGCGCACTTAACTGCTAAGCCTCGGGGCCGGCCCTGAGGTCATAACTTTTGTTTGGTTTTCAAGTTTAGATTTGTTTTCAAGACACAGTATGTAAGAAATTAACTGTAATCCTAAACAGTTGGGTATATTTGTGGCACTACTATTTATAACTATACTCATTTTGTAAGAATAGAAATCTCCACCTGTGATATTGTGGTTAAACAAATAGCTGTAGAAGTTTTTTGGAGGAAAATAAATCATTAAACTTCCCCTATCCCCAAAAGTAGAGATTTTAAGAAGGCCTACAAAAATTATTTAAAAGATAAAGGAGATGGGCCAGCCCCATGGCTTAGCGGTTAAGCGCGCACACTCCGCTGCTGGCGGCCCGGGTTCGGATCCCGGGTGCGCACCGACGCACAGCTTCTCCGGCCATGCTGAGGCCGTGTCCCACATACAGCAACTAGAAGGAAATGCAGCTATGACATACAACTATCTACTGGGGCTTTGGGGGAAAAATAAATAAATAAATAAAATTATAAAAAAAATAAGATAAAGGATAATGAGGTACTATGTAATTTAATATTTTTCTTTAAGATTGGATAGTTTCCTCCGATTTATGGATTCCATGTATTCTCAATTTCAGATGTGCAAGAATTGGAATTCTATACAAGTAAAAATGCAATAAACTTGGCAAGATATGAAAATTGCTAGATTTTTTTTATTTTATTGTTTTCAGGAAGTCTGTATAGTCTACTGGAGGATTGAAAGGTGTCTTTATCCTTTGTTTCGTGTGAAACAAATTCTAGTATCCATTATATTTCTGAGAAATTTTAAAAATGGAGGAAGTTATGAGAAAATGGTATTTATTTTTCAAACTGTTGGTAATTTGGGCAAAGAAGTTGATAATTTGGGCAAAGTTTTCCTTTATTTTGTTGAGTATTCTATTTGTATTTTGTGGAGTGTGTAAAATTAATAAGAGATGGTGGTAAATACATGAACCTACATGTATGATAAAATTGTGTAGAACTAAATAAATACACATGCACACAAATGACTACAAGTAAAACTGGAGAAATTTGAATAGGATGAGTGGATTGTATCAGCATTGTTATGCTTTTTATGCTACAGTTGTGCTATTATACTACAGTTTTTTTAAAATGTTGCCATTGGGGGAAACTGGGTAAAGTGCACACTGTATCTCTCTGTATTATTTCCTACAACTCTGTGTGAATCTGAAATTGTCTCAATAAAAGTTTCAATTAAAAATTGATAAAGGAAGAAATCTATTCAGGATGGAGGATATAGATCTTTCAAAGCCTCACTAGACCTAAAATGTCAAGCACTGCTTTTATGATAATTTTCAGAAAAGCATATACATTTCAGTTAGTTTCTGTTCTGAGCAAGTGAAACTGTCATTTTTATAGTCCATCATTTTGGATGGACTAAGTGCCTTTGTTTCTTCTGCCCTTCACCTTATCCTGTCATTCCCCACCAAGTATTAAAATTCAAACATTTTAAGTCCTTAAAATAAGTACTTTATCAAAAGAATGTCTCTGAAATAATAGCTATGTGCTATGTAGATAAAACCGTTACACATAGTATATCACTTATTTTTTGTGTCTACACTATCATATCAGTAAAGGCTGTTGCTCATGATGGGAAAATAGCCTCATGTAAAACTTCATGTTGTGCTGTTACTCAGAATGTAAATCTACCATATATTGTTTAAATATCCTGCTTTATTTATTCCTCAATGATTCGTTGTTGGTATTTTTTAGAAATTTGAATGTTTTTCTTTTTAAAACTCCATTATTTTAATCAAAACTGTCATTTTTGTTTTCTAGGAGTGAAAGGATTGGAAAAGTTTGTCCTTGATTTTTCTCTCTTTAAAGGTAATCTGCTTGTTTAGTTCACTAATCATACAAATGTAATACAATTTTCTGTTTGGGGTGGCAGTCTACATTCAGTTGTTAAAATAGAAATTTTATTATATAGTGCTGATGCTTTTCTATTTGCCTCTCAAAATGCAGTCTAATCTCTAAAAGAAAATAATCCACGTGATTTATGGCATGGAAGTAAATATCAAAATAAATTCAAACTACATTTCTACTTCATGCTCTACAGATTTTTTTTTTCAGAAATTTATGAAAAATCTTTGCTGTTTTAGTTTGTTTGCCTGAAACTGTATTTTACTCATAAATTGAAATATTGGAGCCATGGGAATAAAGGTTCAGCGTCCTCGATGTTTTTTTGACATCGCCATTAATAATCAACCTGGTAAGAAAATTAATGTTACTATTTAATATTTATAAATGAGTATTTAATAGTTTAAATTAGTAGAGAAGTTTAAATCAACTACCTTCTTTTTCAGCTGGAAGAGTTGTCTTTGAATTATTTTCTGATGTGTGTCCCAAAACATGTGAGAACTTCCGTTGTCTTTGTACAGGTTTGTTGGCATTTTCAATTGCCCTAATTGTAGTCCCATTTGACTATGGCGTGCTTTAATTTTTTATTTAGCATGTTTTAGATTTCTTCATGCATATTACTTCCTTCTCTTAGCACGCAGATTATGCAACATTGACTAGAATGTGAAAGTAATTCTTAGAAATATTGGTTGTAATAAGATTTTATCTGAGATTTCTATACTTTCCAGAAAAATATGGATGATTTTTTTTTTTAATGAATTTTTAAATTTCTGAGGGGAGTGAAAATTCTGTAGTTTAAAGAAGTCTGTATAGTTCAAGAGAGGTATATTTTACAGAGCAAAAGCTTTCATTAATTTTGCTTTAATAGTACTTCCTTGATTTCCTTTCTACTAAATGGCCTACAATTTTTCTTCTCTGTAGGTGAAAAGGGGACAGGGAAATCAACTCAGAAGCCATTACATTATAAGAGTTGTCTCTTTCACAGAGTTGTCAAAGATTTTATGGTTCAAGGTGGTGACTTCAGTGAAGGTAAGACTTTGATTCCCATAAAAGAAAATCATATGTTTATATTCTTTGGTAAATATCAGAGATCTCAAAGTTAGACATATCTTTAGAAATACTAGTCTAGTTTTCTTCTCACCCCACTTAGTCTTTGGTCAAGCAATAAGGAGTACTCATAGAAATAGATAAAAAGAAAGAAGCATATAGGAAATAATTTCACCTTTGCATGAATTAATTTCAGAAATTTGCATCTGGATAAAAAACAAAAAACACTGTATTCATCTCCTAGTAACCTGTTGATGTGTGTGTTTGATTTTGTCACAACTGGTAATCCTTAACTACAATATAGTTTTACCTATACTTTTTTTTTTCTTTCGTGAGGAAGATTAGCCCTGAGCTAACATCTAATGCCAATCCTCCTCTTTTTGCTGAGGAAGACTGGCCCTGGGCTAACATCCATCTTCCTCCACTTTATATGGGACGCCACCACAGCATGGCTTGACAAGCGGTGTGTCAGTGCGCGCCTGGGATCCAAACCCCTGCAGCCACAGCGGAGCGTGCGCACTTAACTGCTACGCCACCGGGCTGGCCTCTACCTTGAGTATTGTTGATTCCGAGTAATTCGAGCACCTGCCTTGTAAAAAGCATTTTGTTTAGGTAGCATCTTCAAGGAGATTAGTCTTGAAAGTTCTAAGAGTCCATGCTTTTTATTCTTAGGAAATGGACGAGGAGGGGAATCTATTTACGGAGGATTTTTTGAAGGTAAAAATGTTCACATTTAAATTGTGTTTTTAATATTTTCTATTTTATTTGATTTTTCTCTATTGAATCAATAAGGCTATTCATTAAACAGTATACTAATATTCAACTGCCTTCAACTATCTGGAGGTTAATTTTCTTGTGAAAAATTTTATGTGAGACTTTTTATAGAGTAGGATTTTTTTGTGTGTTTAGGACATTTGTATATCATATTTGAAGGGTTTAGTGATCTAGAATAAACTCTTAGAATTACAGTGCTAGAATAGGAACTTCCATAGCTTGATCTTAATTTTTATTAAAGGAGATTCAGCAGTATTTCTTTTTTTTTTTTTTAATTTTTATTTATTTATTTATTTTCCCCAAAGCCCCAGTAGATAGTCGTATGTCATAGCTGCACATCCTTCTAGTTGCTGTATGTGGGACGTGGCCTCAGCATGGCCAGAGAAGTGGTGCGTCGGTGCACGCCCAGGATCCGAACCCGGGCCGCCAGCAGCGGAGCGCACGCACTTAACTGATAAGCCACAGGGCCGGCCCTTCAGCAGTATTTCTTAGTAACTATCCACATTTTTAGTACATTTTTCTATGAGGATTTTAAAAAAAAGTCTGATTTTCTAACGTTTGGCTATAATAATGTTTCTCCCAAATTTAAGTTTTCTCTGTGGAATTTTTTATTGATGTGAAGATTATTTGAAAGACTATAAGCATATGAATGTGGAAATAATTTCATATTTCCCATCTTTCACTTTTGGGATTAAGTGAAATTTTGTTTCACATTCCACTTGCTTTGTTCTCATATTCTTATCCAAGATTGGAAGGCAAGCTTCTCTCTTTTCAATATGTGATGCTGTGGGAGAGGTTAAGTTAAGAAGTGCCTCCCTGTGCTCAGAATAATATTGTATGTGCTTTTTTCTGTTCAGAAATGAAACATGAATTGTGAAAAAATCCTATTTGGATTCTTTCTCTTGCTTTTTAAGGAGTTTCATCTTTTGTTTAAATAAAGGTGTGTTGTCTTTTCCAAAAAAATGTAAAGGACAAATGTAAATGGAAAGAAAGGAGGTTGATGTAGTATTTGGATTTTATAGAAAAGTATTGAAAATTAGAAATATTTTATCCTAAAAAGGTGGGAGAGGGAATTGGTTAATATTTGATTCTCTCTTCTTTTAACCTGAATTTTATCTAAATTTTGTCTGGATCTAAAGAACACATGATATAAACACAAGATATGAAGAGGAGAAAAAATGAAATTTTTTTGGAGGTTATGCCTGTAATGTAACTGGAAACTTTGCTTTTCTGTAGATGAGAGTTTTGCTGTTAAACACAACAAAGAATTTCTCTTGTCAATGGCCAACAGGGGGAAGGATACAAATGGTTCACAGTTCTTCATGTAAGTAGTTATGATCTGATGATTTAAAATATCCCTTTTTTGGTGTGTTGTTTCTCTGTGTGCCTGCCATTGATCACTAATAAATAGGAGAGGGATCTATGAGGGGGAGAATTTTTGAAGGAAGGAGAACAAAGAATTGCTGAAGAGGGAAAACTTTTTGAAAGAGGAATTGAACTGTACTGCTAAAGTTTTCAAATGATGAAGACTTGTCAAGGGACACAGGACCCCACTTGAAGGGATGGGGTGTGGGGTTCCCACTGGCCAACGTAGGACAATTTCAGCATGCAAATAAATAATGATAATATCAGATTATCAAATAAAATAGAAATCCAGGATTCCATACAGATATAAATAATAAATGAATAAATAACAAGAGAGAAGGAAAAGCTCTTCCTTAGTAGAATGTCAACTAATAAATATAAAAGGAATGATCGAGTTAGAAAGTTACCATTTTGCAGTCATCTCAGTAATAATTCATTCAGTCAATCTTCATTATTCGAAGATTCTCTATTTGTGAATTTGCCTACTCACTAAAATTTATTTATAACCCCGGAGTCTATACTGCTAATGTTTTCCAATATGACTACAAAAAAATTGTGACCAGGGCTTTTGTCAGCAATGCACATTTTTTATCATGTCCTCTGGGTACAGATTTGCTCTATCTTCAGTAGCCTTCAACTCTCCTGGTCTCAGAAGAACTTAACCTGTCAGCACCATATGGATTATTCCGATGTTTTCCTGTTCCATATTTGTAATTCCTTTCTTCAACAGTGAGAAACCTGGCTCCCATTATCTTCAAAATTTCTACTTATTTGCTGAATCCTAGAATAAAAAATTGCCATTCTATACTACTGTGAAAAGTCACCTATTAACTAGAGTTCACTGATTATTTATAGCTGTTTTTGTTGTTAGACTGAGGATATGTAGTTAAAATACCTTGTTTAAAAGTGACTTGGATTAGTACTTATTGGTGTGAATTTTGTGTGGTTTTGTGACTCAAAATATGTTAGGTTCATTTTTTTTTTTTTTAATTTTTTGTTTATTGCAGTAACATTGGTTTATAACATTGTAAAAATTTCAGGTGTACATCATTGTACTTCTATTTCTGCATAGATTACATCATGTTCACCACCAAAATACTAATTACAACCCATCACCACACACATGTACCAAATTATCCCTTTCACCCTCCTCCCTCCCCCCTTCCCCTCTGGTAACCACCAATCCAATCTCTGTCCCTATGTGTTTGTTTATTGTTGTTATTATCTACTACTTAATGAAGGAAATCATACGGTGTTTGACCTTCTCCCTCTGACTTATTTCACTTTGCATTATACCCTCAATGTCCATCCATGATGTCACAAATGGCTGGATTTCATCGTTTCTTATGGCTGAGTAGTATTCCATTGTGTATATATACCACAGCTTCTTTATCCATTCGTCCCTTGATGGGCACTTAGGTTGCTTCCAAGTCTTGGCTATTGTGAATAACGCTGCAATGAACACATGGGTGCATGTACCTTTACAAATTGGTTTTTTCAAGTTCTTTGGATAAATACCCAGCAGTGGGATAGCTGGATCATATGGTAGTTCTATCCTTGATTTTTTGAGGAATCTCCATACTGTTTTCCATAGTGGCTGCACCAGTTTGCACTCCCACCAGCAGTGTATGAGAGTTCCCTTCTCTCCACATCCTCTCCAACACATGTTGTTTCCTGTCTTGTTAATTATAGCCATTCTGACGGGCGTGAGGTGATATCTCATTGTAGTTTTGATTTGCATTTCCCTGATAGTTAGTGATTTTTGAACATCTTTTCATGTGTCTGTTGGCCATCTGTATATCTTCTTTGGAGAAATGTCTGTTCAGGTCTTTTGCCCATTTTTTAATTGGGTTGGTAGTTTTTTTGTTGGTAAGATGCATGAGTTCTTTATATATTTTGGAGATTAAGCCCTTATCAGAAGTATGGTTTGCATACTTGCAAACAATGACATATTTCATTTTGTTCTCCTTCTCACTGTGTTGTTTTGATTTGTTTTTTTAAGTTTATAAAACATTAACATGATTGCAAAAGTCAAAGCAAAAAGAATACCCTTGAAGTATCACTCCCACCTAACTCTTCACTCCATTTCCATTCTGCCATTATTTTTTACCCACTTCCACCCATTCATATTAGTAACCATCCTCATTAGTTTCTGGTTTATCTTTCTGTATTTCTTTTTGCAAACATAAGCACAGATACATGTATATTTTCTTTTATTTATTTATTTATTTCCCCAAAGCCCCAGTAGACAGTTGTATGTCATAGCTGCACATCCTTCTAGTTGCTGTATGTGGGACGTGGACTCAGCGTGGCCGGAGAAGTGGTGCGTCGGTGTGCGCCCGGGATCCGAACCTGGGCCGCCAGCAGCGGAGCATGCGCGCTTAACCGCTAAGCCATGGGGCTGGCCCTTTATTTTCTTATTTTCCCTTTTTTCTTACACGGTAGATAGCATACTATATATATAATACTTTGCGCTTTTTCACTTATTGATATATCCTGGAAATCCCTGCATATCAGTTCATAGAGCTTTTTCTCATTGTTTTTAAAGCTGCATAGTACTTTATTTTGTATATATACTATAGTTTGTTCAACTAATTGCATATATATGGGTCTTTCTGATTTTTTAAATGAAAACAACTTATATCATGTGTGTTGTAGAAAAATTAGAACACATAGATAAGAAGAAAAACAATCCCATCCCTAGACTATCTTTCTATGCAATAAAAATGTAGGTGGAGTGTTGCATATACTCTATAATCAACATTTGGATATCATATAAATCTCTTTGCATGTCACAAATATTAATTAACGTTTAATAGCTACATGGTTTTTTAAAAATTTTTTTACTGGTTTGTTTTTTAAATCAGGACCCAAACAATGGGCACACACAGCCTTTCGTTATGTCTTTTATTTTATTTATTTATTTGTTGGGGAAGATTTGTCCTGAGCTAACATCTGTGCAAATCTTCCTCTATTTTTCAGTATGTGGGCTGCCAGCACAACATGGCAGCTAACAAAGTGGTATATGTCTGCGCCCCGGAACCGAACCTGGGCTGCCAAAGCAGAGCACATTGAACTTAACCATTAGGTCACCGGGGCTGGCCCTAATAGCTACATGTTAATACATTGTTTGAATGTTCTGTGCTTTATTTATTTAATTAATCTCATTTTTGAACATTTGGTTTGCTTCCTGTTTTTCAAACTGCTGCAGTGAACATTGTTGTACCTATTGTTTGATGCATTTTTAATTATTTCTTTCATATAAGTTGCTAGAAGTTTACTTAGTGAAATATTTACACATTTTGAAGCCTTTCCATATATATTGCTACATTGACGTCCAAAAAGAAGTATAGTTTACTCTAGTATCAGCAGTATATAAGTGCCAATTTCACAAGATCCTCAACAACACTGAGTATTATCATTCATTTTCTCTTTTTTAAGTAAAATCATTCTGTGCTAACCAAAACCCCTATGTTAAGTTCATGTAATCCTTTGTGTGTATTCTTAGAACCTTCCCTCTAAGTGTTGATTTCTCTTTACCGCTTTCCATTTCTAGATAACCTGTCTTTACTTCTTCTGTGTTCTATTGTTTTTTAAGGGAAACAACCTCAGGTTTTAATCTTTAAAAAATATTTTTTATCATGGTAACATAAAATTTACTATGTTAACCATTTGTAACTGTACAATTCAATCATATTAATTATATTCATAATGCTGTACAACTGTTACTACTATTTCCAAAACTTTCATTATCCCAGACTAACCATTTTCCCTTCCCCTAGCCCCTGGTAACCTCTATTCTACTTTCTGTCTCTATGAATTTACCTATATAAGTAGAGTCATGCAATATTTGTCTTTCTGTGTCTGGTTTATTTCACTTAGCACATTTTCAAGGTTCATCTGTGTTGTAGCATGTATGAAAACTTCATTCTTTTTTATGGCTGAATATCACTCCATTATATGTACATATCACATTTTGTTTATCTGTATTCATCTGTTGGTGGGCATATGGGTTGCTCCAACCTTTTGGCTATTGTGAATAATGCAGTGAACATTGTTGAGTCTTTGTTTTCAATTATTCTGTATATATACCTAGGAGTGGAATTGCTGGATTATATGGTAATTCTATGGTTAGCTCTTTGAGGAACCACCAAACTGTTTTCCACAGTGGTTGCATCATTTTACATTCCCACCAGCGCTGTGCAAGAGTTGCATGTTTTCCACATCCTCATCAACACACTTTTCCACCAATCTGAAAATGACCATGAAAGCACTGCGAGTATTGGTTTAGGTGTTACAAATAAATTCTAGTGAGCAAGCAAACGTGCAGATATGGAATCTGGGTGAGTATGTAGATGCAGTACACACTGAATGTAACATGTAACAAATACATATATGGGGTACACCTAGGTTTTTACATTTCTAGGTTTTAGCAAGTTCAGGTGAGCATAGCTGTTACAGTGAGAAAACAATTACAGGTTATTAGATTTTTAAAATGAAATTTTAAAAATACATGTACATGTTAGAATTTTTTTCAGTAGTATTGTATGTGCTTTAACCAAAGATTAGCTTAAATTGTATTCCTTCTTCCAAATATGTAATGCTTTTTTTGATAAGATTTTTAAAAATAATAAATCTTATACAATGCCCATCTTCAGTCTGTTGTACCATTATGTCTTCATGCCTACTCAAATAAGCAGCCTTCTTAACTACAAGGATTTAAGGTTGATATGGAGGAAAAAACGGGATTTTAAAAATTACTTCATTTTCAAAAAAGGTCTTCTTGCTTATTTTGGGTTTTATCCAAAGTTTTAATCAAGATCTCCTTCTTCCCTGTAAAGTTTACTTTATGTCAGAGATAACAAACTCAAAGGCCTACAGGTCTTAGGCAAGTGACCTAAGCAAGAAAGCCAACTGGGACAAGAAACTAAACTATTAATCCCAGTATTAAAAAAGACGGGAATACTCAGCCTGACCAATTATTGACACGTGCCAGGTGTCACATCTTCCAGGGTTCCAAAAAGGTCTGAAATTTTTATGTGAAAGTATCCAAAATTTTAAATGTTGGCAGCTAATTAAAAAATTTATAAAAACTATATGGACCATTTCTGTTCAGGTTCAACAAAACATTTGTGAGAGCTACCAGAATATGACCCGTGCTTTAATTTGACAATGTTAAAATTGAAAAGCACTAGTTTTAAACCTGTGAACTGTGGAATGGTTTGATAAATTATGGTATGTCCATAGAACATTATACAACCATGAATATTCAATAAGAACCCACTCATATGCAAGAGATATGGTTGGATAGAAATAACACCAAAGTGTTAACTTTAATTACATGTACTTTTCACCAGTGAGTAGCTGTTTTTATAAAAAGAACAAGTTTTTAAAAATACATTGTGGAAAGCATCTTGCATTGTGTTATACTTAAGGTTAAGGTAATAAGATTCTGTTATGGTGAAACAGCATATGATTTCTTTGTTTGCAACTTTGTTTCCAATGCAATTATTTTCTTTTCCTTTTTAGAGATGCTAACTTTGTTTTTCTCTGACTTTGTTTTTATTCTTCTATCTGATGACTTCCAAAAGAACAACGAAACCAACTCCTCATTTAGATGGGTAAAGATTATTTTAATTTATTTTATGAGCTACTTTAAATTAATATTAAAAAAGAAGCTTTTATTTAATCGTCTTTACTTGACTCTTTAGGCATCATGTTGTTTTTGGGCAAGTGATTTCTGGTCAAGAAGTTGTGAGAGAGATAGAAAACCAGAAAACAGATGCAGCTAGCAAACCATTTGCTGAGGTGCGGATACTCAGTTGTGGAGAGCTAATTCCCAAATCTAAAGGTAAGAACAAATACATATTTCTGATAATTCTTATGCATACAAAAGAAGCAGAGACACTCTAAATAGTTGGCATGAAATCCACACTAAAGTGAATATAAATATCAGGTTTTTGTGTTTTTAAATATATTTCTGTGTTTTTTACGTGTGTTTTATCTTCATACTTTGTTCATTTACCACTCAACCGCTTTTCCTTGTTATTTGTGATAATTTGTCCTTCTGCTTCCACTTTTTTGGTTTTGTTGTTGTTTTTTTAACTGTAGTTGTCTAAATAGAATGGTAAAAACATACTCTTGTAGGAAAAGAGACAGTGGGAGGAGGATGCTAATTGAAGAGAGTAATATAGACTCAGAAACTTTAGGGGAATAAATTATGTCTCTTTCATGCACTGCTTAGATTAGAAGCATCTGGCATGTTTGAGAAGCTTCTTTTACTTAGACCAGAACATTTGAGGTTAACATGATTAATTAATTTGATAAGATATTATCTGAAATGGTAAGAACTTTAAATGATATTTTAAGCCTTTATATTATATGTGCAACTTGTAACTGCTACCATTTGTTATGGATATTGGTTCTGACACTCTAAAAATAATGGGAAAGATTACCTTCAAACCTGTAGAGAAAGCAATAAAATAGTTTAATGACTTTATTCTTTCTATTCTTACTCGTCTAGGGAGTAATAATATCAATACTTAGTTTTTCATGGTTAACAAATATGAGAATCATCTGTAATATTTTATGATCCTCACAATAACCCTATAATGTTATTTCCCCCATTTTACAGATGAAGATAGTCTAGGAGATCGTTTTTCTTTTTTTTTTTTTTACCACATCAGGGAACTATGCCTCAAACTCAAGTTTGCTAGCTCCGGATCTAGAGCTTTTTCCATTATGTATTGCTAACTCATTCAAGTCTTTAACGTTCCTTTTAGAATTTTCCTATGTAGAACATTCTGTTCTCAAGTTTCAGGGATACTGATTTGTATACAAATCTGTAACATTTAGAAATTTGCACATTTTGTTTTAATTTAAAAACACCTAGGATGATCATAGAGACGGTTTATTTTTAATTTTCTGTCTCTGCATTCCATTTTGATTCTGATGATTTTATTTTCTTCTCTGTCATATCAAATATATACCTTGTAAACCATTGCAGGAATATGCTGTAGCTCATAATGGGACTGTTTATATATAATTTCTTGGTGTGCGTGAATCCAGCTTTCCATCCTTATTTACGGGCAAGAGGTATAATGTATGCCTTGTGTTCATGATGATTCAGTAAAGAATGAGGTGTTGTTGAGTATCTTACCTTTTTTTAAATAAAAACTAAAAAGCAATCTGTATATTAATCTTTCCAAATTTTAGACTTTGAACCTACTGATATTTAATTCTTCAGACTTGTTGGTACAATTGGAATATTTTGGTTTAAAGCTTTACTTCTTTCCACATTGTCTAGAAAGTCTTCATCTTTTATTCTTAACAACTAGTTTTTTGGGGGTTTTTTTTCCTTATATTTTGTAGTTTTTAAGGTCTCTTGTGTTAGGATCTGTTCTCTGCTTATAAAAATTAAGGATGCTGTGTGGTTTATATGTTTGGAAAGAAATTGAAGTAATAAAAATAGCTCACGTTTTAAACCATAGACAGTTATCATAGACTCTATTTATTTGGTGTAAAGATTCTTTTGGTACTGAAAGGTCAGTGTTTGAGTATTTGCTGTAAGGATGAGAAAGTGAATGGATGTCACTCTTTATATATTATGTTTTTATAATGTATTTCACCTGAGGAGATAAATGCTAATTTTGCCCAGCCCATTGTAGCCGGGAAGTTGTGCTGAAAGTTGATATAGTGTCCTGGTGTGTGTTCTTCAAACTCATGCTAAGGAAGCATACCTTGCCCTTATCGGTTTCAGCAGTTGGGGAAGATCTGGCTCTTTATTAGCGTCTGTCCAGGAGTTCCTGAGGTCAGATTTGTTTTGAGCCATACCTTCCGTGTGTACTTTGTTCTGGATCACTCTGTGGAAAAAGGAAAAAATCTTTGTGTTTGAGATCACAAAGTTTAGCACCTATTACCCTACAGTCCTTCAGTTACCATTCAGAACATTGGTCAGAATGGATTTTGTCATGCATCTATATAATCTTTTTTTAGGCAGAGCTGTGTCTCATATCCAGTTTATAAGCTTGATGGCCTCGTTACAATTTTAAATTGAAAACAGTCAAAAACGTTGTGCAACACTGTGGTGTTCATCATCCTTATATTAAAAACCTTGTTTGAGAGATTTACACCTCAGTTTAAAAAGAAATAAATACAGAATCCTTTTTTTTTCTTTTTCTAACTTCCTGAAAGAAAACAAAAAGACTTCTGAAGAAATCTGACTTCTGGGCCCACCTGTATATGGTCTTGGTGAGTCTGGGCAATCTTCTTGGGCCTCTCTCCATTGGCTATTGCGAGATTGGAAATTCTGCTTTTTGTAGCTGTTTGAATGTGCCTGAGGAGGTTCACAGTCAGAGAAGAACCTTCCAACAGATGCAAACATAGAACACTGGAGGCTAATAAAAACTGCATTCCCTAGAGGCTGTCAGGAGGCAGAGTGGAGGATAGAACACAGACCACCAGAGTGAAACCACTACCTTGATTAAGTACTTCCTGCTTTTTCAGGAGTTGGCATGACCTCAGGTCATGCTGGTCTCTTCAGAGTTCACTGCATTTGTTAAAGAGAAGTCTGTCCACCTTGACCGTACAACAAGAGACGGCCATTGCTATATTACAGAGTATACAGAAACACAAGTGCTGAGTTGTGGCAACATCACAATAAATAGTTTTATGGGCAGAAATTTTACATAGATGTGGGAGGAAACAGATTGCCTGGCAGTACAGAAAGAAGAGCACAGTAGAGGAAGCAGCTGGTGAATCTTGTACTCAAGTGTCAGTGGAGAAGAACACCAGAAACTCACATCTATGGTAACAGGGTCCCATTTCAGTGTCCTTCTGGAATTAAGAATTGTGGTGATGGCACTTTTACTGGAAAATAGTGGGATGCTAAACTTAGAAACTGTTTAGAAGAGACCAGTAATATAAAATGAGAATATCTAAAGGAAACCTATTTTAGGAATAGTTCTATTCTTTATTTCAAATCTTATTTTGATGATGGTCCAGAAATTTCCTTGAATATGAAGGTTTCACGTGAAATTCATTGGTATAAAATCTATAGATCTCAAATAAAAAACTATTAAGGTAGCATTTATTACCTTAGATTTTTACAACTAAAATGTTATAGAGTTTGTTTTTTAATATATCATACTTTTTTAATATATCATACTTGTAAAGTCAATACCTAATTAGTAAAATTATACCACACCCTACCCCACCCCCCAAAAAAGGTCAGTGAACAGGTTTGGGAAATTCATTTACATAGTAATAAGCAAACTACGTAATCTAAAATAAACTAACCAGAAATGGCCCAAGAGTTGAAAGTGTTACTCTTTGTAATTCATTTTCGTCCATTATGATTCTTAACTTACTGTGGTTTTGCTTTTAGTACTGTTGCATTTTATCTTCAGGGTACTTATATGCTTGTAAAAGGTACTTTGAAATAAATTTTGTGTAAGTGGTGAGGCAGAAAGTGCAGTTTTTTGGAGGATGGAGTGAAAACATGTGTCATACTTAGAAGTTTTTAAATTTGTTCAGTTTTTTAATTTAATACATTCATTTGGTTCAAAATTTAGAAAGCATAAAATGATAGTGAGTGAAAAGTCTCCTTTTCCTTTTTACCCAGCGGTTCCTGTTTCCACATTTTGTGTATCATTCTACATGTATGTGAATGTTGGTCATATAGGATAAATTCCTGGAAATGGAATTAACAGATTGTAGGGGTCATGCATTTATAATTTGGTACACACTGCCACTAGAATATAGGAAAAAATTCCCTATACCCTTTGCAAAACCACATATTATCAAACTCTTTAATCTTTCCCAGCCTAATAATAGGTTTTTAAAAAGCTAGTGTTAATTAGCATTTCTCTAAGGTATTTGATGTTATTAAGAGCCATTTGTATTTATTTTCATATGAACTGATTGTTGATTCCTTTACCCCCTATTTTTACCCATTCTATTGTTGTTCTTTTCTGAAATTCCAGGCCTCCTCCTGTTATTTCTTTTCTGTTTAAAGAACTTCCTTTAGCCATCTTTTTAAGGGTAGATCTGCTGGCAAAAAATGATCTTAGTTTCCTGAAAACATCTTTATTTTGCTTTCGTTCATGATAGTTATTTTCACTGGGTGTAGAATTCTTGGTTGACAGTCCTTTAAGCACATAAAAAAGTGTTATGCCACTTCCTTCTACCTCTGTGGTTTCAAGTGAGAAGTCTGTTGTCATTCAAATCATTGTTCCCTTATAGGTAAAGTATTGTTACTCTCTAGCTGCTTTTGGTATTTTTTTCCTTTGTCGTTAGTTTTTATTTTTATTATTTATTTATTTTGAGGAAGATCAGCCCTGAGCTAACATCTGTTGCCAATCCTCCTCTTTTTGCTGAGGAAGACTGGCCCTGGGCTAACATCTGTGCCCATCTTCCTCTACTTTATATGGGACGCCGCCACAGCATGGCCTGACAAGCAGTGCCTCAGTGTGCACCTGGGATCCGAACCTGGGCTGCCAGCAGTGGAGTGCGCACACTTAACCGCTACGCCACAGGGCCGGCCCCTGTCATTAGTTTTTAGAACTTTTATTTTTTTTATTTTATTTATTTATTTATTTTTTTTTGTGAGGAGATCAGCCCTGTGCTAACATCCGCCAATCCTCCTCTTTTTTTTGCTGAGGAAGACGGCCCTGGGCTAACGTCTGTGCCCATCTTCCTCCACTTTATATGGGACGCCGCCACAGCATGGCCCGCCAAGCAGTGCGTCGGAGCGCGCCCGGGATCCAAACCAGCGAACCCCGGGCCGCCGCAGCGGAGTGCGCGCCCCCAACCGCTTGCGCCACCGGGCCGGCCCCAGAACTTTGATTTTGA